TTATTGACTTAGGTTAGTCCTGACTAGGGCTCAACCCCAAGACCTCCTGATCATGGAGCAACTGCTGCGGGATGCCCAAGGCAGGGGATAACATAACACCCAAGGGCTTTCCTGTCACCATGAGCAAATATTCCGGTATGACATCCTAAAGCTTATGTGATTTATCTGAAGCCAATAAATCATTGGATAAACAGCAAGAACCCATATTATAGAAGCTGATGAACTTCACTCACAATTAATTGAAACATAGTTGCAATAACTCATATCCTTATAAAATGACAACTGAATTAGGGGTAAATAATGTTTAATTACTCCACTGTTAAAACATTCCTACTTCATTCACAAACTGGCTTAAGCAAACAATTTGCACTGCTAATCAAATTTACGTTAATATATATAATTTTACTTTATATAATTCATAATCACATAAAACATACCTATGTTTTAACAAATACTTAGTAATTGACAGCTTATAAGCAGTAAACAGCTGGCTCTTAAGAATTCCAAAAATTAGCTCATAAAGCACAGAAAGGATACTGGCATTGACATTGCCTGAAACTAAAACTTCAAGAAATGATTGTTGATTTGGGGTTACAGTAGTTTGGGCTATAAATAGATGTAACTCTGTATGACAACAATACATAGATACATGTATTTTCTTAAATGAACCTAAGGCACATTACTGTGATTTTTTTAATGAATGTTTGAAAAGTCATAAAATGCTGATCTAAATTTTCAAGTAAATCTAAATGCATATATCAACCCTGACTGTTAAAAATTATTAGTACACAGCTTCTAAGTTATTGCATATATATAGAATAGTTACAAAGACGACAGCATGGCCTTAAAGTTAATACTTCTAAAAAAAATTGAGATTCATTGCCGAAATGCTGGCACACTGTGACCCAATATATGTAAGGTAATCAACTATGGTGTCACCATGGTTTAACATGTAAAACATAATATCAATGGACTAGCATGAAAAACTGGCTACTGTGACCCTCATATTAATGTGATATGTTATAACATGCTAATATTTCTACAGCTTACAACAGCACTTCTTAACAATAGTATATTTTTAATAGAGGTGATTGACACCAATTTTGCTTAAAAATATTCATTGTCATCAATCTATTTTTGGCACAAAAGTTCATCTGAATCTGAACAATTTTCAAATTTATCACATCTATGTTGAACATCATGCACAGGAGGAGGTGGTTCCAGTCCAGTGGCCATGGATGGAGGAATCTAAGATTATCAGGTGTGGATCTTTATCTGGTGTGTTTCTTGCAGTATGGTTTGCCTCCTTTGGCATAGAAAGGCTGACCTTCTAGATTGACTCCACATGTCTGAAATACAGAATCATCATGAAAAAGATACATTGGTATTAACAGCTTTAAACATAAGTCCGTAACTTCTCATAAGCTTCAATAATTTCTTTAAAAACTTATGGCTTAGATGAAGAATTTCATCCACGTTAAAAAAGAAAGCATTGATCAGATGAAGCAGTGAAATGACTTACTGAACAGTTAAAACACTCTGAGTGGAAGTTGTTGCCCATGGCCTCAACCCAGTGATCCCCAGGTTCAATGGGGAAGTCACATCCCTTGCACATGGTCTGGAACATTTGCCTCCAGTCTGAAAGTTTCAATCAGGTTCACGATAAGATATTAATGCAAGAAAATAAGCATAACCAGAGAACACCTCATCTGAGTGAGTTTTTTTTAAAATTGTGGTTAAATCATTTTAAGAGTTAGTGTAGCTGCAATAATGTAGCCCTCTCCGATTTTTTTTATCTGTTATTTTCTGGAGAGGGCTACAATTCCACAGCATCTCTGTAATGGTGCAAAAATATTTTGTAAATACTGGCGACTGCAGGCAGAATAAATTGTTTTCACAATCAACTTACTTCTAATAAGACGAAATTTTTATTCACTGTCGACATCAAAGCTCGTTCAACGCGAAAACCATGTTAAATAAATCTGTGCATTTACTTCAGCAGCCATGACAGTTCACGCGTGACGTAGTGAGACTTGCGCTTGAAATTTAGAACAACTCAATAAAGCAAATGTCGATGTTTATAAATAATTGTGATGAATAGTAACACTAAACATCGATAAATAAAATCATTCCATGTTTCATTTTTTTTGTAAACACAGATATTTAAGCTTAAAATAAGGTAATTCCAAAGAAATCCGCTCCCCATTGATCCTTAATCTCATTGGCTGTCCCGAAATAAAATCTGTCAAGGTCAATAAACATGGCGGATAAATTTAAGTTGCAATGTTGACATACACGAAAAATACTGATATATGGATTGTTCTGTATATTTTGAGATCAATTTATGTCTGGGATAACTACATTAGGGAAGTCCAGGTAAGACATATAAATAAAATATCCATTTACTAACAATTTAATCCGAAATCCGTGCGGGAGCGAATCGCTCCTGCTCTGCACCATTACGGAGATCCTAAGGAGTTGTAGCCCTCTCCCCCCCCCCAAAAAAAGGAGAGGGCTACATTATTGCAGCTAGAGTTAGTGGAATGAAGTGATTGATATAGAAAACATTGATCAGTGCCTGTATCCAAATTTTCAAAGAAGGAAATTAGTCTAACAATGCACAGATGGATTTTTTTTATACTTGATGCAAGTTCGGGAAAACTTCTGTTTATAAAATTACATAATTACCATTTTCACAATAAGGATTGCCATCTTCCAGATGGAACTGGTTTCCACCAATGGGCTGCTTACACTGGTAACACAGGAAACAGCTTGGATGGTAGGTCTTCTGTAGGGCATTTACACACTCCTACAACACGGAAAAAGTCAAGTTACTATATATATCATTATACAAACCAGAAGTCTCTGATGAGACTGTAGCTCTTCTGGTCTGTACATATAACAAATGAAAAGTAGCACTTGGATTTGAAACTTTGCAACAGGCAGCAATAAACAGAAACCATTCATCGAAATCAAAAACTGATGCACTAGATGATGTATCTTAGTGTAGTCTACTCGTGTGCTACATTTTATTGAAATTAGACCAAAACTATAGGAGGAGTAGCGTTTTAAAGGAATTTCACAGAAATTTCTATTTTTAGTAACCCTGGCAACACAGTTTATTGAAAACAAAAAGGATGCTCTGGATTATGTATCTTAGTGTAGTCTACTTGTGTGCCAAGTTTTATTGAAATCAGACCAAAACTGTAAGAGGAGTAGCATTTTCGAAAATTGTTTACAGACAGACAGACAGTAGGGCTGTCACGGGTACCCAAAATGACCTGGAACCGCGGAACAATTAATTCGGGTGGGGTTTGGTTCCATTTTTCTGGAATCCAGTTCGGTTCCAATTCTTAAAACAAAGTAGGTTTTACCACAAAAATGGCGTCTAAAACGCTAAATTCATTAGTATATTACAATTAAAAACGGTTATAATGTGATTTTGATCATTTGGTTCAATTATTTTTCTAGTTAGAAAACTTGTTGAAACCAGTCTTTATGTTTCGGTTTCTTAGATTTGGAAAAAATATAAAATGTTTGTTGAATTTAATTCAAATCATGAGTTTTTATTCTACCGTATAATCCCTATTAACCACCCCTGCCCCTATAAGCGCCCCCTTAGGTCTTTTTCTATTGTCAGGAAATAAGGGCCCCCTGTACAGTGATTAAAATCAACAAGAATCGTATCAAAAAATTGAAGAAAGTGACAATGAAACATTTATTATCCAATTTCTCGGTGGAAAATGAAACATTTAGCATAATTTGGGTGGATTACCTTCAGTTTAAGTGAAGTTAAACATTAATTTAGTGGTTCCTAGTATTTATTTTTTTTTTCAAAAGATTTCTTGAAGTTTAAATTTGTCCTTAAATATCATAAAGAGAATATAAAAGTAACCACCCCCTTTTTGCAATTTTCTAAGCGCACGGGGCGGTTAATAGGGATTATACGGTATTAGAAACCCAAACAGAAAAACCCGAAACCGAACCTTAAAAATTAAGAACCGACCCGAAAAATTATGGAACCGTGACAGCCCAAACTGACAGAGAGACGGACGGACGACGGATACATTACTATAGCATAAGCTCTTCTGGTCTCTGACCAGTAGAGCTAAAAATTGTTTAATGCTGAATGTGCTATTCAAATTCTGTTTAATCTGACCTGGTCTATTCTTATTGAACTGGTGGTATCCAGTTTGGATAAATCATTCTGTTCTTCACAACTTGCATTCTCAAAATATCCCTATTGCTTTTCACTGTTCTAAATACAGTGGAGCAGACCTCAACCTACCCCTACAATGGGTTTTCCACACTTGTTGCAGGTTGGAGCAAAGTACTGTTCATAGTCCTTTTCACAGTACAGAAATCCCCCCTCCTCCACAAATCCTATGTCCAGCAGCTTCTGACCACACCGAGGATTCTGACACACAAAGTGGTCAGGGCACCAAGTGTTTCCCAGGGCAACCACAAAAGGCCCTCTGTAAAATAGAACACATCTTTAATTGTTATGACAAGTTTATAAAAGTTACTTCTCTTTGAATAAAAATTTATTTGAAAATGTGCATATCAGAATGGAATGACTGTTAAATAAAACATTGATCATTAACTTGTAAGTTGCATCTTTTGTCGCTTTATGCTCTCTTTTCGTTGTACTTCTGTATCTTAAAGTTAATAGGCCACTAGAGTAAAACACACTTATAACAAAGTGCAAGGCACAAATCTTTTGATTTGTTTTAAAGATTACAGTGCATTTTAAAACCAAAGAGAAATCCTTTCGCTGCAAGTGTTAATTAACTATGAGCATACTTGATATAACTGTGTTTGACTGCATGTATACATAGAGAGAAGAGACCAGATAAATGCACTGAAAGCTTATGAGCAGAACGATTTCTCTACCTGATAGAAACACTACAGGAGGCACAGACAGGGATACGAGAGATTCCGGGGGGTGTCTCCCCACTCTTGAAGACCACAGCTTCACCTTTCTTGGCCCTCACAGCATTGACGCCAGTGGGGTTCCTGGGCGGTCCCATCTTAGGACCCCCTGGAGCAGCTGGGGCAGGGGGCTGAACTGTTGGGGTGAAGGGCTTGGCAGTAGGGGCACTTGGAGGAGTCCAGACCCCTGGTTTGGGAGCTGATGGCGCAGCTGAAAAAAATATGTAATTTATTTATATTGTTGTTGTGCAAGTTTGCAAACAAATAATGAGGTGCATGTTTTTCATTGAATTTTTAAGTTTTACTTAAAAGACAATAAGAAATTATAAACTATTTGTACTTATAAGCTTATAAAATTCAAATTTATCCTGACCAATGTATTTTTCAAGGAAAACAAAATTATTAAAATATAAGGCATCTTTTGGATGTTTCCATGTAATAGGGTTATATAAATGTTTGCTTAATATACAGATACATAAGAGCCAATTAGGGCCAACAATGACAAAATTCTGAATAATTTTAATATGTCAATAGGTTACAGGTATATAATTTACCTGGTGCCGGGGGTGGGGCCTTAGGTGTTGAGGGTTGGTCCCTGTACAAAGTAAAACATGATTTGTAAGGACTGTATTAATGTCACTTTAAAAAATCTTTCATAAATTTATCTATCACTTTTCCTTTAATAAGAAATTTAAATGCTGCACAAGTTTTTTTTTCTGAATTTCTGAAGTAAAGTGTATGCAATACTTATTATGCTACAAATATTCAATATAAAGGATATCATGAGGATGAATAAATAAGTGTATCAAAAAGGAATATCACTGACTGGTAAACACAAAGGGGGTCATGCAATATATAAGAACACACTACATTCAGATTTTAAAATTCTCTGTCTGTGCCAATTCAGAAACTCCAAATGAATATTTATAAAACTGTCTACAAAATTACCCCCGCAATTTTTTTTAAAAAGGGAATTTTGCATTAAGAAACTACATTTTAAAATCTTTCACCCATCATCCCACCTCTACTAACATGGGCATAGGCACAAACAAGAATGTGTGATGAATGCATTACCCTGCTCCGAGTTTCTCTTGGAGCATTTTAAATGTTCTGGAATGAGTGGGTTTATAATCATCTTCATGCTTGGCTGATTTCGGGGTGTCTTGTTCATGCACCATTTTGAATGTTTCTGATGGACGATACACAATCTTCCCTTCGCTGTCCAAATCACTGCCTTTCTCTTCTTCTTCTGTCCTGAAACATGCATGCAGGAGTCTAGTTCTACGCTTGCTTCATGCACATTTCATTTACAATACATTATACAATATAATATTTGATTTTCTAGACTTTTAAATGATATGGCATGATTCAATATTGACAAGCATAATGGGAATATTTGATTGACTCAAACTGAATATCACACTTAACATGCAGCTCTTATACTTCACAGTTTTTAAAGAGTTAATTCAGTACAGATACTTGAAATATTTTCCTTAAGTACCCCTATTATAAACACTTCCTGACTAAATCCCCCATTATAAACGCTTCCTGACTTAAGCTATTAGGCTTTTCATATCCTTTTGTTACAGACGAATGGGGTCAAAAGGTTGATAGCATGGCTATTTAATCATTTTATAGCATGTCTCTAAATCCATGTTGATATTTCATTAACTAAGTAAATACAGAATGTCTTGTAAGATTGTTCACATGAATTCAGGTGGATAAAAGTTTTTTGTGTAGCAACAAAGATAAATCAGCAAAAAATATTTATAAAGACAGAAAGAGTCTGGCAGAATATTTTCTTCAGAAATCTAGCAATCTCATTGAATTTTACTTAATAATATTTGCAGTTGAACATAAAATAACTGTAAAATTTTGCAATTAAAAACTCAATGAATAAAGAAATTCAAAATATAAAAGTATGATACAGTAAACAACTCTATTTATCATAATATCTATCTAAATTTTAATAACAGGTGTCTTTAAGTATTTGAGATTCAGCTGTATCATATAAAATCCATGGCAAATTAAAACAAAATCTTGTATTATACTCTAAATTAAGCCTGTGAACTTCATTGCTATTTCTGTCAGACAACCAATGAACAAGTACATGCAAATCCAAACAGACTGGGGCACTCTGTCCACTCAAACATGCTGCACTTAAAAAACAATAAAAAAAATAACACAAAATTAATCAAACTCCAGAACAATGCCATTCCACGGAGCCCATCTCAGAAAGGGCTATATGTCTCCCCCTTCTTTCAAACTTTGACAGTGTACATAATAAATCAATTATTATAGTATCTTTTCGAATTAAAAAAAATTGTCTTAAAGTTTATTTCAACTTACCACCCCCTTTTGTTCTTATCAAAATTTTGAACACTGAATTTTTCCAGTTTAGATTGCACTTCAATTATGGCAGAAATGTTCAATTTAGATGACAAATCACCCAAACAGGGCACATGCATCAAATGAAAAATTAAAAAATACACTGTCTCAGTTTTTTGTATGGGAGACATATTTGTGATAGCACTTTCCCAGCGAACTGATCCATCTAAACAAGCAGAAGATGTTTTACCTCCATGGTGGGCTGGGTTCAGGTTTAGGAGGCAGATCTACAAACAAAATACCAAAGTCAGAATTCCACCTACGTACAGAACCTCGCAGTGAGAACCCTGAAGCTGCAAGTATCAGCCTTCCTTCTTTACATGGCCAACGAATGAAATGTCTTATATCAAAAGTCGTACGGAGATAGCATGTATGTAGTAGATAATAATTACAGGGGTGAATATGGTTAAATTCAAATTTTCAATTCAGATGTTTCAGCAATTAGAGACCATGTCAACTCTACACAAACTGACAATGCTTCATATCACAGCAACCTCAAGCCTGGATTTACAAACACCCTAAATACCCATATACCATGATGTTTATGTATCAGACTTCTAGAAATGGTTGACAGAATTCAAATCATGCAAAAGTACGAAAGATACTAAAGCCTGGAGTCAACTGCAAGCAATCTAGTTCAGACATGAGTGTAAGTAGATAGGATAATACACACCTCACAAGCTTACTAGCACTTTTGGTACTTTCCTCTGAATACAGTCCTTGGGGGGTATTGAACTGGCGTGGTTTGGTGTTAAAGTTGTTTTGTGTGGTGCTGGGGGAGACACTTCGTACCACTTGTCCGGGAGCAGGCCGCAAGGCTTGGGGGGGTTCTGAAAATTTTGGGGGGTTTCATAAAAACTCTATGGCATGCATGGTACAATATGCACTTAATTTTGGATGCAGTTTGAAAAAAATACTGTATACAGGGAAAATTTCACTCCCTTTTTTTATTTTCGCCCCTTTAGTTTAGCCCAACTGTCAAATGGGCAATTTAAAACTGAGTGAATTCAAAGAACACAGTATAATTCCTTAAACAAAATGGTAACTGGGTGAATTCAAAAGTGAACAAAATTGTTTGCAAGTGTGAAAGAGCGAAAATAAGACGGGTTGAAAATAACACTGTATACAGTAAATGATTTTATTAGTACACCTTATAAACAAAAATTCTTTTTAATGCAAGAAAAGAAACACTTTGTTTTGATTTAAATTCTGCATCTGATCATATAGATGAACATACATAACTTCATTCATGATTATAAATAATACATATTAAGCTAAGGATTTTAAACTGAACAAATATATAACATGATAATGTACTACCTTGTAAAACATTTCATTTTAATGTTAATCTAATATTCTAATTGTTGACAGTTATGGGAAAATATTCAAGAATTTGTGTGATAAATTTGAGATCAATGAAAAGAGAATCCAAGTCTTTCTAAATTCTTAACAAGCACAAAACAGCAGGATTTACTTGCTCAAGGCCAGAGGAGGCTTAAGTAACTAAGTAGGTACAAAACTTTTTTATGTAATAAAATAGCACTCTACAGGACCAGCTTTGTATGCTAGAAAAGGGGGAGATGTGTACCACTGCCCAAATATAAACAGACATTGTTCCTATCTGACTCAGAATTTAATAAGAAAAAAAAGAGAAAAATGTTGGTTGGTGAAATTAAAATCTTCAATAAAACAGAAACCTTCAAAGAATTCTTTGCATAATTCAGTGAAATTTATTAGTCTTCAAAATGACTCAATGACATGTTTTAGAAATGGTTTTAAACTTGTGATATGTAAGGAGCAGGTATTTATCAGCTTACTAAGTCGTTGGCAATGGATCATTATTATTCACACTGCATTCTTAAACAAAAGGTGCAGCCTACTACTCAAGGAAAAAAACCATGCTCTACACAACAGGAAAATGTCATTATGCAGATCATGTTAAAGGACATGCAACAGAACTAACTTCACAAATAAATATTGTTATTATGCAATTACCAATACTATGAATTCATTTCCGATTCCCACCCTAATTTTTTTTTTCCTGTACTCCTCAAAACTTTCCCAAAATAACTTCTCCCTATTTCTGAATATAGAGTAATGGTACTGAGAGCCTAATATTGCTATTTCAGGGTTTTCTACTAATTCACTACTTATAGAATTCTGCTCCACTTCCTACTTTTTCAATGTCAACTGTTTTTCCCTTAATCTCATTGACAAAAAAGTAAATTGTCTCTTTAACCCCCTCCCCTCTATTCAGATTGCTCTGTATGATAATATACCCTGTGTAATATCTAAGATTTGTGATTTCATTACCTTGTCCACTGTCCATCATGCCCTGTAGAAACTTGAAGGACCGTGACTGATAATTAGATGGGGCTGGCTTCTCTTCATTATCAGCATATTTCTGTGCCGCATTGTAGAACCCTGGTGCCTGGGAGGGAGGGGGTGGAGGAGGGGCTGGGGCAGCAGGGGGAGGTACCGCAGAGGGCGCTGGCTTCCTATATAAAAGACAACTTATCATAAGGAAACAAAACAATGTTTGCCTTGGTACTCAAGATTTTTCTAATCTAAGAATTTGAGTTTATGAGGAAATTTATTTTTATTCTCAAGGAAGAAAAGCTAAGACATTACGGGGAGAAAGAGAGTTGACTAGTTTGCTGTGTGACAGTGTCGACATCAGGCCTGGGAGCTGGAGATCCAAAGGGTTTAGCTGCTGTGTTGTAATTCTGAAGAACAAAATAAATATAGATCACTTATAATTTATCTTTTTTAAAAAAGCTTGGCAATATTTAAATTCATTCTTCTCTTTCCTTGTTTGTACTGTATGTTTTCACTTTTAAACAAAAAAAATAAAGTTTAAGAATATTCCTTAATATATTTTTTAAGAAGAAATACTTAATGATATTTGTTTATTATAAATAAAAATGTTCTTTTTTTTTTTCAACTGAGAGTCAGAGAAAAAAATATGAATCTCTCCTCAACATTTTGAGGTTTACTGGTAATTTAAAATCTATGCTGGCATAATTTTTCAGGAAAAAAACCAAAGTGCTTCGTGATGAAAAAAACGATACAAGTGGTAACGTGAATTTTCACTCTCTTACATTTTTGAAAGTAGGAAACTGATTTGTCTGGAAAAAGAATTAAAATGGATAGGCATATGTAACTAGAATAATATATCACTGACTAACATACAATATGTATATGTCCTTTCTGAACCCTGCTTCATAATAAAGATACAGTTTTACCAAACAAAGGGTATTTGTTCTCTACATACAATTATTTTGCAGAGAGAATATTATATTTTGTGATGGGAAGTAATAAAAAATCTTTTCTGAACAAAGGAAATTTTGTATTAATGAACAATAAGTATTGCATATCCCATTCTCCATCATATGAAATAAGGGGGTAAACTGTCAACTACCGCTACTAAGCAGTGTCTCGATATAACGCCAAAGTAAATCTTGCGGTGAGTTATCGTCCTACATCAATACACTGTCAGACATTGTTTACATTCTTGTTATAAAGTACTTCCCCCCCTAACCTTACATCACCCTAGGAAACTTACTAACGATATGACTCAACCGACCTCTATCTGTATTTGTTATTATAACAATAAACATCTTCTTTAACCACTAAGGTCTTTTCTATTTTTTTTATTTTGTGTACATCTTGTGTAAAAATTAACTCCACTTTGGACATTCTCTCCATAGATAGGTTACAACATAACATACAAAAGATCCATATCACCTCCTTTTTAAAAGACAGGTAAATGTTTAAAGTAACAGCATCTACTTATATCTTACCTGGGGGCCTGATGGAGGGGCACCTGAGGGGCCAGAGTAAGAGTTGAATGTGGGGGCCGCAAACTTCTCATAGGTGTGCTGAGGAGGTGGGGCACCCCTGGAAAAATGGAAATAAAATCAAAATCCATAGCAATAAATTATATAACCTACAGGCAGAATTCAAAATGATTTTCAGCTTATTCATGGTAGGAAAGGGAGGAATATTCTATTCAACTTAACTCATCTGAACAGATCATACTTTCTATTTTGATATTTGTAATAACAGTAATATTGCTAAAACTATTGTATTTAATGTAAAGGGACTAACATAAGATTGTGTATGCATTAATGCACAACATATCTATTATTTAAAACTAGAATTATCAGCTTTAAAATGTTTGTAACTTTGGTAAATACAATTAAGAGTGCATAATGGCTCATCATACAAATTGAGAAATGTATGCTTATATCTCCTGCTATGAAAAACATCTTAAAATTTGTTTTATAAACATACATGTACAAACTTATGTTTTCTTCAGACAAATGACATTCCCTACATAAGTGCTATAGCATTCCAACATATTGATAAAATCTTACATAAATGTACACTGTCACATATTTAGTTCATAAAGCAACTACACTGAACTGAGCTTTGCATATGTTAACAGACTTAAGTAACAAATATTCAGTGAGAGTAAATTTCTAATTTACAATCTGTAATGTGTAAGGGGTTGTTGCACATAAATCAAATTCTGAAGGAATTAATACAGGTAATGATACCTGTGTAGGCAGAATTTCAATAAAATTTGCACTCCCAGGAACGATATAGAATCTAAAACATCATTCATTCATCGTAAGTCAATATAGCAATCAGGCAGAAGAATGTTCTGGGTGTACATGTTTTTACCGTGTGCGTAAGTGTGTGATTAATAAGCCAAAAGAATGTGTCTGCTTCACATCCAGGCCTTTATGAAATCTTATCTGATACACTCAGAAAGTATACAGCTATGTAACAATGTACACCTATTCCCGTGATGCTTTCTCAGCAGTTCCCATATTAAAAATCCTCTGTTTCTAAATGACTTGTTGAGAACATGATAAAAGTGAGTTCTCTTACAAAATGGGAATCACTTAGAATTGAATTAGCAGGTAAATTATGGTTTGTTATCATTACTTATCTTTCTGGTTCTGCAAAGACATTTTAATTAAAATCGCAAGGAATGAAAACTTGAAGAATATTGCAGATCCAGTGTATTTTTGTGCATTCTCAAACTATTAATCATAACATGGTAAATGCATCAGCCCAAAGACTCAAAGAAATCTTTCAAAATATTTAAAATTTGAAAACAAAGTTTCAGACTCTTCAAACATGTTTCTTAAGTATGTCTAGACAGTTCCAGTGAAATCACATGCATTGAATTTGGGAAAAATCTTCATTTTTGTCAAACATTTAAATATTACCTGTGCATGTACATTTTTACTATATGTACCAATTATATGCATAAACAAGAAATTTTTGGGTAAATGGAGGAGTTGTGTTTCTATGATCTACAGTTCATCAGCCTCCCATACCTTTGTAAGATAAACTAACGTAAGCTATGATGGTCTATCATATACATACAAAAAACAGATGTTCCTCTCTAACTACTGATAGAGAGATATTACCAAAAGGAAAAATAACACTGCTTATTGATTTGTTTGACTGGTCAGTAAAAATAATTCTAAATATAAGCCCAAAGTGCTGTGTTAATCATGCAGTGATTGAGTTAAAAGAAGAAGCTACGTACATCCATTAGCATGATTCAATTTAACCTTGCTAATTTATGAAGAACTGAGTTGGCAAAAATTCAACTGATGATCAGATCATAGTTTCTATTGATATAAATACCATCTGCTATTATTTAGCTTAATGAAAACATTTTCACACCTACAAAATATTAATAAATTGGAAAATTGCATTCATTTAACACCCTAGATATGACTTTGATTTACTGAGAGTTGGTTAAGTATAACACAGATCTATTTGAGTACTATAAGAGTCAGAAACCTCTTATAAAATACAATCTGTCAACTGGTATCCATATTATTGCTATCCTGTTGTTCAAATGATAACCCTAAAGCATATATAAATTTAATGAATCTATAGCCTATAACGTCACGCATATAGTGAAGTAATTTCACCCCCCACTCAGTTTGGTGTGAGACCATGCATCAATGCAACAAACGTGTAGGTGACCTAGACTATAACACTCTAATGGTGGTACATGTAGTCCATTTAAACAAGATGATGCATCTGACTTTTCAGCACTTAGAATGACATGGAAAAAAAATGGGAATATCTAATAGTGATAATTGATCACAACAAGATGATATATCTTCATTTTTTTTAACACTGTCTTTATCACAATTTTTAGCTCATGTATCAAGATTGCAGATGCATGGTTATTATAGGATTATGAAGCTCTGCAGAGACTCAAGTAATTCTAAAGTAAATAATAACTGTGAACAACAAACGGATAAAAATGTTGGTAAAGTCTGAATCTATCATCAAAATTAAAAGTGCAAAAATCAGACAAACATTACAGTTGGTTGACAATTCCATCATCAAAGCCTCACCCTCAAGACAGAAGCCAAGGGGGAAATTCTTACTGTACAATTCAAAAAAATATTTTATATTCCACAAAGACAGGTTAAAACGATGCCATACTGAGAAACAGCAAACATCTGATACAAAGTACAGTGCCATGCATTATTTGCATCATCATGTCTGATTTCAAACAAATTCTCTATGGGCTAGTAAAATACTACCTATTTATTTCAAACCTTTGACTCATAATCTAAACTTTTACTTTTAGTATCAGGCAATTCACATCAAACACAACAGGAAGATTTTCTGTCTAAACTAGAAACTGAGTCATTCATTATTTTCTTCAGCATTCCTGTACTTACCGATTAGAGATAGACTTTTTTTCACGGATTCTTGAATTTAAAAGAAAAATATGGATTGAAAAGGAAGTACTTAATTGGCCTGAATTAACAGCTTAGGGTTATGATGGAGGTGCTAGGTGAAAGCTTCACTGCACTCGGACTAGGTCATGGTAACACGGCAAGATTATTATGGACTAAAAATACTACATATGCTACTTGGGACCCACCCACCTGTTTCAGAAAAATACTTCATAAAAAATAATTCAGATGCATACAGGTAAAGCATGCAAATTTGAAATTTTGAACCCATGAAAAAACAAAATGCACAGTTTGCTCTTCAATTCTGTGACAAATAAATCATTAAATCTTGACTGTATAGTTTTATATATTTTTCATGTAATTTTTATAAACCCAGTGCTTTCAGTATGGGTGAATGATAAAATAATGCACCCAAGGCTGGTCACTTTCATTCCACACTCACAAGAAGAAATTCATGATTATAGTGTTGTTGGCAATAGGGAATGGGACAGTGCATTTGACCATCACATGCACACAATGACTCGGCCATGAGGATACGACAGCTGCATGTAATCACCCATACCTCTGCAGTAGAAGATCTAACTTGTTGCCCGATCCGATTATTAAGTCTTGGGCCTCTTTGTGTTTGTGATTTGTCGTCTCGTGGTTACCGATCTTCAGAATTATGTCCCCTTGTTGGAGACCACACTTGGCAGCCAAGCTTCCTTGGTTCACCTGAAAAGGTAAGGAATAAGAAATCTTGATTTTGATTAAATGCATTGGAATTGTATTCAATTTCCTGGTTTCAATAATTTATTTGGCACAAGGAAATAGATATTTTACTTGGGATAAATAGAGATATGCTTGAGCATTTTCATCAATAAAAATTTTTCTCTCTCTCTCTCTCTCTCTCACTCCATCTCTCTCTCTCTCTCTTACTTAGGAGGATTATATTAATTTAAAAGGGATATGAAGAAAACTAAGAATTTTTTGATGATGCTAAATACAATGTAGTGTATACTATTATCATACTAATCAGTGGTGAATTTATTTTAATTCTGGCAAATGAAATGCCAAAAACCCTTTATATTTAATCAAGTTCTGATCACTAAATATTGTAACTTTTAGCATGAGCATATTCACGCCCCCACAAAATCTCACTTCAGATAAAGTTGTCTGATAGTTTGGATCTTCATGATAGATAAACGATTCTATATTCAATGTGAGTCTAAAATATCACATCTTCCTCCACTGATCATTATTATCACCAGTCTGGGAAAAAAGTTATTTTAACTGTGATGCTTGGCTGAATGGCTAGCAGAGAAGATAAGAAATGTATACAAATCCTAACAGTAACAGGTATGTGCCAATGATTACTTTCCAAGAATACCTCTGCAGATATGTGGCAACATATTCCCTGCTGATGTAACAGTTCCAAATTACAGAAACAACTTACATCTGTTACTGCTGCATACTATGTTTGTGTTCTCTGTGGTCTTAGGTACTCACTGTTCAACTACTCATCATTAAATGGGGAAGTAATATATAGTACCTATCACTGTTAATGGTGTATTATTTAGCTAATGTTTTAATAGTTGATCCTTTACTGAATTTGTGGTAAAATTCAGTTTAATCCTGTTTATTATCCACTGAAGCGTTAATGCATCATAATGCAAATTCAATTGAGAGGACTGTGAAAAACTGAAGTTGCAGTTCAGATTGACTTTAATCACTTTTAATCTGTTAATAAATCCCTACACACATACACTGAGGAACAGTTATATTACAACATACACCCATGATATTATGATGTATTATAATACAAACGTACACTACCCTACACCATAATTATACTGACTAAATAGTGTATAATACATATGATTAAAACTGTGATTTATAAGTCAATGCATGGCAATTAAGGCGTGTCAGTAACAGTATTTTTAATTAGTTCATCACGTTAGGCGACACAAAATTAACCGAGTGGAAAGAGAAATTCACAATTAAGAAACCGGTTCAGAACAACGTTTCTTTCAGGTGAAAATATTGTTAGGGTCATCAGACAACAATCAAACTGTCAAACTCGGGTCATTCGACCGGAAAGAATTACACAGGTGTGAGTGCAGGTGTCTGCCAGGAGAGGGTGTGTCCTTGAAGTGGAATCAAAAGTGCCGGTTTCTTACCTTCAAAATAGTCAATGGACAGCCAAATTCTTTTCCCCCTTGCATTCGAAATCCCCATGGTGTTGTGGGATCAACTCTTTCTAATTTAGCCTCCAATGTAAGAACAGAAGCCATGCTTTAAAAGTCTTGTTTCAGTTTAACCTGTCAGCATGTAAACACTATTTCGTACCCCCCAAAATGACACCACTCACAGTTCAATATATTCAGCGAGAAGTTTTGCACACGGTACGTTGTTCCGAAGGATATTTGGCTGGTGCTCATACTTGTATGTTAATTCATTATTAAATTAAAGGACTGAGAACTAGTTGTTTAGAAAGGTTCCGAACAGGTCTGATCGGGAACGCCCACTTGATAGGAAATGTGTACTTATAAGGCAGTACGAATATAAATATGCATCATTTATGCTTGTTATGGAAAACGAAAATACAAGAATTAGTCATGAAAGAACGATTTATATCATTGACTTTAAAAAACAGAAACTGTCAAAGTGAGATTACGAATGTTGCTGAAATACTTGGCCTCTCATCCAAACGGAACAGGTGGATCAAAGTTTTCTTCATGCATTTGTTAAATATTACCTCTCCTGTAGTATATTTTACATTACTCATGATTAAATGTGGAATTGGCCAAAATCCCTCAAAATTCCACGAACATTTAGAAGTAATCGCTGTTTTCGTGGAAAAAAAATTAATGTCCATATATTGACCATAGTAATTTATGGTTAAATTATTCTTAATTCTTACCTATTTTTTCTCACAAAATCATTAAAATTCAGATGGTTTTCCATCATTTCAACTTCATAATATATTAATTGTTAAATCAGGACCTTTTAAATTGCTCAATGTGTACACTCTTATGCTCATCTCTCTCTCTTGCCCTCACATTTAAAATGTAGTAGAAATGCATTCTCATACATATTTGCTATGAACACTTAAAATACATTCATTTCCATTAGAAAGATTATATGATAGATTGTGAAATGATGATGGCATTAATGCTAAAAAATGTGTCAAGCCCCAACAATAACTATATACTGTTATGAATTTTGCCATGTGGCTACTGGTCTGACTGTGCATGGATGGAAGGGGGCATTTCGTCTCTATAACTCTTAGGGTTAAAAATCATTATTATCATTTGTCTCCCCTTTATTGTATTTCAACAGCTTGACAGACCTGCAAATCCAAATCTCCTAGATTTATAAACAGTGCTTTCATTGTATATAGTAGTCTACACGGACAATAACAGATGCCAGCTAGCCCAATCCTTTACACTACAATGGATATTTTCTGGTTGATTAAGAAATGCAAATTTCATTAAAACCTGCTGGTGATAAACTGTTGTTGACATAAGCAGTAGCAAGGGTCAGTGTTCAGACCACTGTTAAAACCCAGGGCTCTGATTCCCCGTCAGACTGTTATGTATCACATTAAAATTCACTAATCCCCTCTCTGTGCCAAGATACACTGGTATTTAAAAACACAATATCAGGGGATAGATCTGTACAGTTTGAAACTTTAGTTAGGGACCTAAATTTCACCTTTGCACATCACAGAATAGTTTGGTTTGAATTTCAGGACTTTGACCCTTTCATTAAAGTGAAAGAAAAAATTCTTCATGCAAATTTTGCAATTTTTTCTTTAGGTTATAAGACACATCTATTTTAAAAAAATTTCTTATTTTGGGTTACAGTTGAAATAATATATTTGATTGCAATATAAAATTGTATATTTATACACTACATGTTTATATTTGTATGAAAAAAATAAATACTGCTATTTCTGTATTCAATAAAATTAAGTTATATATATTTTTTCACAGTCTGAAAAATATCGGTTAAAGATTGTGCATGGGAATAAATAAACTATTCTGACAGAGACTAAATCTGCCAAATTAAAGTTTCATTTCTTGAAATGATTGTTAACTTAAATCAATATTCAATCTCACAATTAAGATTTGCTAATCTATAATGCCATGGACTATATGCCACTACATTAATTTATTAAAAGTCAGAGGCAAAGGAAGATGAAAGAAAATAAATGTACAGAAAATCAATGTCTGTGGTTGATTATGGAATTTAGTTCACTTATGATAGGATTTTTTGATATTCTCACCAGTGCTTTGCATGCATGTATGAATATTTTTTTTTTAATCCCACTGGCCACTCTTGAAATTCGTATCCATGCACCTACGAAACATTGAATTTTCCTTATGTTTCAGTTTTCTCTTAGTAAATAAATTTAAACCTTTAAAAGTGTATAAAACTTAAGTTCAGACTTTCAAAAACAACACGAAAACAAGTATTTTTTTCAAATTTCTATTTAACAAATTCTACTGCATAGTAATACATAAAGCATCTTGTAAACATTTCAACAGGCAATCATGTCTACCATAACAAGCTGTGATAAACTTCTCAAAATATCAACTGACCCAACAAAATATAGGTAAATAGGTGAATGTCCATAGTCTAATATTATGCTCTAAAACAATATCAAGATTATCACATTTCACAACAGATTTCATGAACACTAAATGTTAAATGTATACAAATTCAAAGAGAATTTGATTAACACCCTGTTTAACCAAAATTAACATAATGAAGGCTTTGATCATGAAATCAAACAGCAAGATATTTAATTTATTTCATTAATTCCTCATTCTTAGTTTGCATCTTCAAGAATGACACATGTGGTAAAAATAATTTAGGCAAAAATGTTATTCATTACATCTTGAAATTGTTTGCAATACAAAATTACATAAGGTACAATATTCTTTTTTCACTGAACAGGTATGCATAGCCCTATTGTTAAGCTTGGAGGGAAAAAAATGTTTCAAAATAATAATGCCCAGTTTTTTAAAGGTGCACCTTGTTTGCCTCAAATATGGAGCATGTATATTGAAAAAAAAAACACAATACTAAATACCTGATTTCTACTGTATATAAACTGAAGAAACACCAAGGGTGTAGTGGCTTAGCTAGCAGGTGCTCTATTTAACAGTGTGGGGAGAAGGGCGTGGGGTAGGGGGCATGAAGGGGGAGGGGGGAAGGAGGTGTGATATATCCCCTAACCCTGCCCTGGAGCAATAAACTATCAATAAAATAAAATGGTTGTATGTATAATTTACAATAAATAGTATACCTTATAGGTTAAATATAATTCGGTAAAAAAACAAACAGAACACACAAAGGATACATGTAAAACATAAATATTTGGAGAACATATTGCAGCTATACACTAAAGCTACACTATTTAAGGAATTTAATACATGGGGAAAATAGTTTGCATGACAATTAGTAAATGATATATATTGCAATTATATCAAATGTTTTTATCAGACAGTTGTTGGTTTTTAAAGTACATGTAAAAGTCACACCTCAGTAATTGCACATTTAAAGAGAATACTTTTCAAATGTCAATGAAAACAAATGTATGTGTTAATATACTGACCAATCGAAACAACCTATAGATATTCAAATTGACTTAGATCTTTGACTACACCCTTCATAACTTCTAATTTCCTCAATAAACCTCTTAACCTTTGGAAAATTATGACTGGACAGGGAGATCCATCTATTCCAACAAAAATAGATATATTTCAGGGTAAAACAAATTCATTGGATAAATATTCTTAAATCAAAACACATTAGAACACTTGAGCAGATTAATTTCTGGATTTCTCTTTGAAAAAAAAAAAATAATTTTATGTCCCTCAAAACACAAGTCTATTGGTATAGAGTTTGTGTAGTTATTTTTGCCCAGTGCATTATCCAGTACTCAGAATTGAGTTTTCAGTCAAAATCCCACTCTTTCATTGATAAACTGGAACTGCCTTCATGTTTGGACCTGGGGGCTGGGCAACTTGTTTGGCATGTACCTCACAGTATAATCTTCCATCTACCACAAAGTATCCTGAAAAACGAAGATTAATTTATTAAATCATTTTGACATACATGTATCTTGGAGAGAAAAAATATGGGAAAAAAACCTATATTAACATACTTGCAATAAATTTGATCCTAATTACCGGTAAGTATTTTTCAAATACAAAACATGTGAACAACCTGTCTCAGTGAAACTTGAAAACTGACTGTTGAAGAGATGATTAATGCTTGCTGAAATAGCAGCCAATATTTTGAGAGAATGTACAACCAACAGGTTAAGTTTGATTTATTAAAAAAAAGAAAATGCAATGCTAGATGCATCTGATATTAAATATCTGTGGTTCTACATAAATTACATGTGAACTTTGACCTTACCTTTCTGTTTCAGGTTCACTCCACAGGAAGTACATTTGAAGCATTGTGGGTGATATGGTACTCCTTTAACCCTCACAAACACTCCTCTGCAAGTTTAAGAAATATTCTCATGTAAGTTTGTTATATTTTATTATTTCACCAAATGAAGCTAAACAACTGAAAACTTATGAAATAAGATCAACTATATGATCATGCTTAAGTAGATTAGAGAATTAATTATTAACAAAATTTATGGACAGACTTTTAGTCAGGAAGTGTTAGCCAGTACTCACGTAACAAGCATGTTGCAGTCTCCACAGTGCATGTTCTCCTGATGGGGTTTGGAGGGGGAGGGGGTGACTGGGTCAGGTGCCCTCACAGAGCGGAAACCAGAGGGCTGGGCTGTAGATTACAAAGGATAGAGTCTCAATATTTAATAGAACATTGATAAAGTGTTCATTTAAGTTAAAGCAAACTTAAATTATTCACTGATTAAATTTGTTACGGATAAACCAAGGCAATCCACACCTACATTGTGACACAAAAAAAATTGTCAATGAAAAAGATGCTCACCACAATCAAATGTCACAAACAGAAACATAGACATTCAGTAAGATTATGAAAATTAATTTGAATGAAAAAACTTGATTAATAAATTCATTAATAACAACAAGATATAGTACAAATTTGATTCAATTTTCATTCCACACCATTATAAGTGCATAAAATTTCACTTCAATTAACACAAAGCAAAAAAGAATAAAAAAATAAAAAATAAATTCTGCTATTGCAAAATGTAAATCAATTTTTATTTGAGACTTGGTTTTGTATTTGATTATGCTAGATTTTACCAGGATATCTACAGTATAAAATTTCAATTCCAATTTTGCATAGATACACAATTATACACCTCCACCCTTTCCAGTACTTTGTTTTCAATGGTATGTTAAATGGGCAATGTGATGTGTGTTGTTTAAACTTGAATTACACTGAACTGTTGAACAGTGATGTATGCAGCACATCTCCAACCTAAAAAGTGAAACTGGCTCAGCTTTTTCACTTTAAAATTTCCAGTTTATAAAAGGTCTAGAATTTATTTAGCTTCAAAATATTTTAGTATATATATTTTAAGTTTTTTGAAATACTGTAAAATAACATATTTTCGTGGGGTTAAATTTTCGTGGATTGAGCAAAAACTCTTCATTCTTGGGGATTTCAATTCGTGGATGAAGAATTGCTGAGAAGTTATGTATGTAACATTTTACATTTCATGATGGACATGAATTCGTGGGTCTCTTCATACCTGGAAAACAACGAAAATTAAACCCCCACGAAAATTTGTGATTTCACAGTATATCAATGAAACAGAGAAATAGCACAAAAAACCACAACATACTGAGTTTTGTTTCATTTGCAGCATGCAAATTAGTATCATTTTGTGATATGGATTCTGGTTGGTTAGAAGGTGAATTTTGGGTGTCACATGACAAATGGTTGTCAGAGGTCACAGGGGTCACATCATCAGCTTCAGAATTCACAACAGGCACAACACTCTCAGGATTGTCTTCACCTTCCAGTGGCTGATAGGTGCCACTCATTTTAGCTCCAACTGGAGTCTTAGCAATGTCTAATCTGAAAACATAAAATAATACAACATACATGTACATGTGCAAACTTTGTCATTTTACTGCAGGTACTACATGTATAATGTTTAAAGCAATGGAACATACAAATACACGTTGATTAAGTGTACACTTTATGTTTGTACATGTATATTGGGCACTCTAATGTATTCAGTACATTTATATAATGATGAAAAGTTCTGATAAAGGATCAAACTTGATATAAAACAAAATCATTTCAATAAACATGTACAGTGTACATTAATTACAAAATTTATGCAGATTAAATGTCCATACATATATATTAGAAACTCTAAAATGTACAGGGGGTATGAAGCATTACATCTGTATAAAAGTTCTGATAAGGAGATCAATCTCGATATAACAGGGCAATGCCCTCAGAAATAAGAAATCCTCTGGCTTATCAATACCCTCTTTTATTTATGTACGTGCTTATGCAAATAACTAGCCTACCCCTGCATTTGCTGTTGAATTCCCGCAGTTTGAGCAGCGTAAGTATCTGCTATGTTGTTAGCTGAATATAATCCAATAGGAGAATTAAACTGGGCATGGACGACATTTGGCACTGCCTGTTTGGGAGACTGTGGAGTGAAGGGCTTGCCAGACCTGTTGTAGCTGCTTCCTATGTTCAGTGGTTCCTATAGCAACAATATAAAGGTCAATGTCAGGTCATCTGATGTACAACAGATCATTTGTGTGAGGAAATGTCTTAGCAATCAGGGTGCTTTTATTCAGGATGTAAAATCATGAAACCAAGCAAAATGCTTCTCCATCTTAATTCTGAATGACAGTGTCTAATGAATCATTATATTCTCTATAATTTTTTTTCACATATAAAGGAAAATGCAAAAAATTATGAACAGTGTGCAACTTTAATGCTTTATACTTGATTACTTTAGGAATAATTCAAAAACTTTTGACAGAAAACGGGAGAAATTTAAAGAGCATCAGTTAAGTGATGAACTTGGGAAAGAAAGGTCCTTTTAGAAATCTGTTACCTTATAAAAGGCAAAATTTAGCTCTATTTCTATCTTGATATTTTAAGCAAATAGGGATAATAATTTTTTACAGAAAACACCAAAGGTAATTGATGGTATTAAGGAATTCATATTTCCTGTGATTATGGATCAAACATCATTTGTGCACAGTTCAACCTTAATCTAACAAACTGAAGGCAAAGGTCAATAGATGAAAAAGTGTATCTAGAAATGGATTTGTGCAGAAATATGTGCATGTACCAATGGTACAGATATTTATAAAGCAAACATCTGGATAAAGTAATTTGTCTTGTGATGTTCAACATCAATTTTGCCATTAGGGTTGTCTAGGCATGTTTGAATGTCTTTTAATTCCTACAGGGTGGTTCTTTTGGTCAATTTAACAGGTCTCAAGATACACAATTCCAGGGTTTAGTGTTTGGATTTCTCAATTGAAAAAACTTACTCTTAATCATCAACAGACTATACTGCAAAACAAATGACAATGAGAACTGAAAATTCTATTATATACTCACTGCTAATGACAATGTATTAAAAATGCAATCAGAGCCCTCATCATAAATACAATGTAAATGCATGAATCTATCTATCACTCCATTTCGTAGAGTTTTGCCATGGCCTAATTCTACTTTGTTGTCACACACACCCCCTTTCATCCCAAAAAATAAGTTTATGTGTATGCTAATTAGTATGAATTAAGTCCCTCTTTATTAATTGTCATTTTGAAATAAGGTTAACTTACAGGCTGGTGCTCTCTCGTCAGTGAGGTTTTCTGTACGGTCTGAACTTCATCCCCTGTCGCTGTTTTGATGGTGTTCATCTGAGCTGGTCTAAGGTCAGACATGGGGGTGACTTTAGGTTTCCAAATTTTGACTGCACCTCTACAGTAAAGTGATTTTTATTGAAAATGAATGAGCTCATCAAAAATAAGTTCCTTTATAATAAACTTGCTGAAATGCAATATGAATATATCATTCAGTTGATATACTGCCATCCTTTTAATGAAATATCTTGAAGATGAAACCTTTACGAAGAGAACAACAATTAAGTTCTTCCATACTCCCTTTTGTTTCAATACAAAACACAATTCCCAAGAATACTGATGATGCCTCCTTTGCTAATCCCTACCTTTGGACAGTCATGTTGATGACATTCCCTGCCCTAAGGATTTCCATCTTGGCCTGTTCATGTGACAGACCATCTGCATTGGTGTTATTGATGAAAAGGATGCCATCCCCTGCTTCCAATCCACTGCGCTCAGCTACACTTGCAGGATTGACCTGAATTCAGAAACTGCATCAATAAGTATGACTACTACCATGTATGTTATATAGCCTTGCTCTCCAAAATATATGTAGATTCCAATATATTTGTACAGATACTAGTTCATATTAAAAGAACACAAGTTTTCACCACAGGTACTTGTGGAGGGCTTGGTGTAAAAAGTGGAGAACGGGGTCTCCAAAATGGAGGGTCAGAGAGTGCAAGGGGTGGAGCCTCATGTCAATTTTAATACATTTGCCTGTTTTATCTTTCAATCATTTTAGAAACTGAATTAAACTGGATTGCTTGTAGTGCTCTCCATCAGTGATAAAAAGTGCCTGTCAGAATTAATTGCTGAGTCTAGATATGACCTAAAAATTTTTATGCAGATAATTATGTCTTGCATTACACACCGCAGATCACTTTGTCTGCAGTTTATAAACAAAATCTTTACCCAAATACTATGTGTACAAAATATGCAGAGATCAGCAAAATGTCAACATTTTTTTCAAAGAAGTGCTTCTCTGCAAATACATGTTTTTTTTTTTAAGTTTTCGCTAGAAGTTCAAGTGATCTAGCCCTAAGCAGTTAACTTTTTGCTCTTCAGATATTTGATACTTATACCGGGTACTAATAAAATCTGTCAAGACACCATGGGTTACTGCGAGATAGCAGCGTGAAACATAAATTACGTAGCATCCGTTATACCGCAAAACAAAATTTAAATCAAAAGCACAAGCTGATTGTACCTCATTTGTTTTTCATATGATCTAAAGGTCATTTTGGGTTCTCGTTTTGTTTTGATAATGTAAGACTCTTACAAGTTCTCATGAATATCGGAAAATGAGATGACAGATCTAATAAGCACGAACAAAATTTACAACAAGCACAATGCTCCACCTCCAGCATCATCTAACTCAAGAGGCTCCACCCCTTGCACTTTCTGACCCTCCATTTTGGAGACTCCATCCTCCACATTTTACACCAAGCCCTTGTGGACAGAACGCAACGGAAGTGCACAGAGAATGTTTTTTCACTTAAAATTATTAGGATAATGTTCGAGAGAGTTTTGGCCTGACGTCATAATCTCTTTCGGGTGTTATGCAGAGTCAATCCGATAGCATGAACTAAGACAGAAATATATGTAGAGACAGTGTGAATGGATGTTTTAAGTTGAAATTAAATAAATACATGTTTTTAAACCCAGAAAGACCAGTTGGGGTACAACATAAACAAACCAGAGTGGCAAACCTCTCTTATAGTGTATAAGTATGGTATTTTTTGTGGAGTGGTTATTTTAGGGTTTTTACAATTTCTTCCTATTGTACACATGATGAAAAAGTGTAATAAATATTTAAAAATATAGTTTGTGAAAAAAAAGTCCAGTAAGCCCCGGGGGTGAATATCGGGGGGGGGGGGTCCTATTCACAAGTTCTTGTGGTTTTCACGATGGGAATTTGCATCAATCACGTTTTATCATACTTTTAATTCAGTAAATGATAAACAAATATTTTTAATCGTGCATACAGGGCTTCAGTCAAACACTTCGAGTACTTTTAGTACTTTCATTTTGAAATTACCTTGAAAGTTAATAAATGTGAAATACTTATCAGATCTCTAAAATTCAGCATCACAACATGTATTTAACCAAACACGTATCAGATTTCCCTTAAAAAAATATATATTTTACACTTTGGCGCTATAAAATCTTTGATCCACACATGAAATTCGAAAGGAAGAGTATCCGCTTTCATTCTCCTCAGCAGCAAGCCAAATATAGAGCAGGATTCTTATCGCGACAAGTCTCGTTGCAGGAATTTGTTTGCAAATATAAGCAGAGAAAACTTAAAAAAGCTATTCAACGATCGCTATTGAAGATTTATTTTTAGAATCTTTGAAAATAATTAAGAACCACGTTCTCTCGGAACACCTGTAACGTTAAACCTTTTTCCAATCTTACCGATTGTATAGAGAGGGGGGTACTGAAATCAACCCCTCCCTGGAGCCGAAATCCCCAAGAGATTCCTGGGTCCGGGCGGTATAGCTGTACCGTGAGGGTCTCCGCCGGTTGGTATTCGATGTTGGACATCCTGCCGTCTGCTGGAGTCTGTGGGGGTACAGATATTACTTTCACTCCACCGAGGGCATCTGGTACCGTTTAGATGATGTACAGGTTCATTTTTTGCACACGTTCCTTTTGTTGTTATTTACTCCAGACGTCAAGTTGTGAAAGGTTGTGTTGTGGGCGTGCTATACATTCCAGTCTATCTTACGATTAGAGTACACACATAGTTTTAAATGGACGTGTGTACTGGGCGGGGCTTCAACTATCACTGATTTCTTATTTTGTCAAAAGACTTTAGGTATAGTATTTCATGCATTCATTCAATCATTGGAGAGCCATTCACAAATTCATTAATACACTCATTCGTCACTGAAATATCTTAAAAATTAAAGATATTTATCGCAATATATTGATAAAAGACTTTTACAACTATGCACATGGCCTATGTATACATGCATGTGCATTTATCAATCATGACAAACTTCGGGGAAAAAATTATACACGTTGGCATCAAATTACTCCAGGGACCCACTTATTCATAATGCACAAAATTGATTTGAATGATCTAAAATTTTGTTTTCTTTTGATGACAAACGGGAAATGAGTCACTTCCAAACAAGGGTTCAAAGAGAAGCTTTCACTTGCAGCTATTTGTCATCCCCAATCTTTATTTCGAAAAAAAAAATAAAAAAAATAGCGGATATATACATGTATAGTCATTGATTTAAAAAAAATTCGAAAACACTAAATTTTAATCAACAATTACATGATAAAATGAAATGGTGATCAATTCTTCCATTTTATCATGAATTGGTCCAATTATACCGAATGAATTATTTAGCTAAAAAAAGATGCAATATTCAGTGCAATAATGTAACCCCAGGAAGTCTCCCAGTAATTGTGGACGACTTTTCTGACATATTATTTACCACCAGAATGTTGTATGTCAGTCAGCGTCTTTATTACGAGTACTTAATCGACACATTTCGGGCATATACGATGATATAACCTACTTCCAATTTGGAAAACTATGCAGAACTTTGAAACAAGGGGCATCGTTTGATCTATATCTATTTTACTCACCGATTGTGAAGAATAACATATTCTTGATTTACAATGCTTTGGAATATTTTGAGTATCTAAATAAGTTTTTTTTCGTGGAACATACCACAGACCATCTGATTAAATAGATTGCCAAAATCAAATATTAATTGTAGTGAATAGTAGTAGTGAAGGAAAAACTTCAGGAGTACTGTGCAACAATATATTCAAGAAGTGGTGCAAATCAAACGTGGATACCTAAAAATTCAAAAGAACTTTTAAAATTTTAGATGACAAAATTTTACCAAAATCAACAGCATAAAAACTTTAAAAAACTTTTCCACTTTTTTATACAGCCATTCACCGCGATAAATTTAAGTAAAAGCTTTTTGACAGCTGCTTTTTCAATAAAAATGGAACTCGTAATTTATAAATTTACTTAAATTGTCATTGGTCATTTGCTACATCATTTTACTAGAAACATTTTGATTGAAGACTCAAGTACTCTGAAGTTGATATTAAAGAGATGCTTGAGTTTTTGATTGACAATATCTATGTGGTTTTTGGAGACCAGGTCTTCCAACAATCTATTGGAATTCCCATGGGTACCAATTGCACCCCGTTATTAGCAGACCTATTTTTGTATTCTTATGAAGCAGAATTTGTCCAAAATCTTATTTGTGAAAAGAATAAAACACTTGCTGTGTCTTTCAGCTCGACATTTAGATATATCAACGATGTACATTATTGTCAATTAACAATGGTTACTTCCATTCTTAGGACAATGAGCTTGAAATAAAGGATACCACATAGTCTGATACATATATTTCATGTTTAGATATTTTATTTGAAAAAGACGTTAATGGTTATCTAACAAGCAAGTTTTTTTTTGATAAACGTGACGACTTTTAACTTTTCAATCGTCAACTTCACTTACGTATATATGCAGCAATATAACTTCGTCACCTGCATCTCTCAGTTGATTCGATACGCGATAGCATGCTCTACGTATGAACACTTTCTAAAACAAGGTTAATTATTGACAAACAAACTGGTGAAACAAGAATATCAACAGTCTCGTTTAATTAAAGTCATCATTTCGTAAGTTCTATGGTTGATACAATGACCTTGTCAGCAAATATATTTATCATTGAGTCAAATGCTGACTGATTTTTTTCATACTATCATATACAGTAAATTGCCGACGGATTTTCCGTCATTTTCCGATCATGACAAGGAGCACACGGAGGATGTGACCGATTGGCAGGGGACGCTCACGCCTCCATGGCACCTGATCCCATCTTTGATGTTTTGGAAGTCTGTGTTTGCTCTGCTACAATTTTGCATTGTTTTATGGACTTGTGAGCTTGAATGATGTTCGTTATTTCCATAAATTTCACTGAGGAAATATTTTATCAGATAATTCCATAGAGATCGGATAGAAAGTTTAATTTTACCAACTAAATTACTACATGTACTAATATGATGTACTATAATACAAACCAAATTTTAAAAAAACAAATTTTTGAAGGTTTTATCCCGTCTGATTTGTATTTCTTCATTTAGCTTCGTCCACACCAACATGAAATTGCTTTTTTCTTTTCTGAACGATGATCTCATTCATGAAAAAAGCACATTAATTTTGGGAGGTCACTGGGATATTCCCCAGTCCCACCACCCCTACGACGTGAATATCCAGGTGTAAGATACTGTAATTATACATAGCCTTGAAACATTCTTGAAACTATCATAATTTCTATTAAAAAAGTTATAATAGATTTTGTATTACTATGATTATATTAAGAAGGTAATATTTCATCAGTTTTCTCAAATTTCAGTTTTATAACAAGAGGCCAGTGGGCCACAAAGGCTGTTTTGGAGAACTTTTTTCTGTTTTATGTAACCTTATGAAAAATTCAAATTAACTCTTATCCATAGTCGCTTGGTTTCAGGAGGGAGTGTTTATTATTTTATGTTTTTCTAGGTGTGTATGACCCTTATTAAAACAAAATTTAAAAAATCTCTGAAATTAGCATTTTTAAAAAAAATATCATATTACTGTATAAACGAGTGCTTTACCATGCAACAGTACTCGATCTACTCTATCCGTTATATAGGTACATGTATGTATATTTTTGCTTATTAATAATTAATTAAGTGCGGTCTGAACAGGCAACTTCCAAGATTTCGCCCAATAACCCCTTTGTAAACATTGAATCCTCTGCATACTATAGTATGTAGTCTCAACCTATTCTCGAAAGCCTTTTAGATTTGAGCAGACTTAAATCTTGGGTTTGCTGTTCATTAGAGAAATCATTTTTTTCCGACTTAAAAATTGACAGGAATCACAAAACTTTGACATTGTGAAGATGAAAGACTCTTTAATTAAAATTTTTAAAAATTAGTGGACATAACCTATTGTGGATTGCTGTATCTTGCGGTCCCTATTTTTTCCGGCTTGTTACATCTTTTCTTCCTAAACAATGTTAGCAATGATTAGAACTTTATTGTGACTACAAGGACACGTACATCCTCAATACAGAGTCACTTTCTCGTATACAATGTCTGATTGCAACAGGATTATGCATCTCTCCAGGGAAAGGAGGACTGGATCTAAATTTCTTTTATAAACTTTCTTTTTTTGAAATTTTGAGAAACTTTGAGCAAAGAGATGAATAGTGCTGTTTATATAATAATGGAAATTATCTCAAACCAGTTAGCGTATTTATTTTACCGTACGCGTATTCCTCATGGAAAAAGAAAAAACTTACTATATTATAGTAAGTTTTCTCCATGAGAAATACAGGTACGGTAAAATGAATACGCTAGCTGGTTTGAGATAATTTCTATTATTTTATGTAAAGAGTTTACAACCTCGATGTGTCTTGTTGGACCCTTGTTTTTAAAAGAAATATTTAATTATTTTTATTAGACAAGATATTTTATGTACGCATTGCGTAATACACAACTCATCTCCTCAAAACAGGGCTACACGAGATCTAGATTGACTGAGTTATCCTTCCCTGTTTTTCCTTTTCAAAGTCTCGTCTGAGGCGTTCCTCGTACTCCTTTTCCCGCCTTAGTTTGGCACAGTCCTGAACAAAAAGTTCGCGGCGAGCTCTGCCAGGGGTCTGCAAGTCTCGAGGACCGTAAAAGAAATAGTTCTGTTGGGTCTGGCCTGACGTCGCGGTGTTAGATATCATTGCATTCGCCTCTGTCCTTTGCAGTCTTGGATCTTGCCAATTCCTCTGATACGTCTGTTGACCATTCTGACCATTATTACCATATCTCTTCTGCATCTGACTTTTCCAGTAATTCTCTTCGAAAATTTTTCTTCGTATTTCTATTCTATCTCGTCTACTAATAGCAAAGTCATCTGATCGAATCCCCTCTCTCGGACAAGGCTGATCCCTCTTAATTTGTTGATTTCTGGGGTTAGTGTATTTTTCATGCATTTGGTATTTTGGATTGTGTTCCTGATATGAATCCCTTCTACTTTGCCTGTTCATTTCCAAATCATCTGAGGAGCTCTTATATGTGTTTCTTCTCTGAAAAGATTGAAGCATTTGAAAAGGATAAAACGGTTTTTGAAATATTAAAACATTTATATTAAACAAATATTCGTTGCATTTGAAATACTGGAAGAGAGAGAGAAAGAGAGAGAGAGAGATCTTACTTGATCCTTTGTAGGATACTTTGGCAACTCATAATTATAGCAGTTATTAAAATTACGTGGTCTTTTCGGTATTCTGTAATCTTTCCAATCGAATGGGGTGTCATTAATCAAATGACTTATATCAGATATCTGAAAAGATCGTTAAATATTTAGACATCAAAATACCATTCAGTTATTTATAATTCAATTCTGGTTGTAACGCTGTATTTGATTGGATAAAAAATTTACTTTTTATCGTAAAAATGGGTTGCCTACGTCACAATTACTTGCGTCAAAAACGTATCAATCCGCCTGACGTTACATTCAAAATTTGTACAAATGGAAGTCATTTTGTTAGAACATCATCTTTTTTTCTTACATCAAATGAATGAAAATTAAATTATAAGCAATGAATTTAATAGCTACCCATTTTATACGGTATAAACTGGGTTGGAACAATTTACGCTTTTTTATAAACCGCTTCACGGTTTATAAAGCGTAAACTGCCCCAACCCAGTTTATACCGTATAAAATGGGTAGCTATTAAATTCATTCCTTAAATAAATACTGAATCCAAAAGGATGTTTATCAAGATAAATTTCTTAAGTTAAAATATTCAAAACAAAACTACATGCTGATCTTATCTGCTGTATAGACCACCAAAAGTTTTGCGAAACTTTATTTCAGCGAGAAAGTAATACTGAATTTGTAACCTAAACAACATTTTCAGGAATTACTGACTATTTTACATCATCTGAAATAATATAAAATTATACCAAAACTTAATTTTCGCGAGCAGACTGCGTAATTTAAAAAAAAGTTATCGTAAATAAAAAGTGATTAACAATAAAGCCTTTGAAAACTGTGTCAGCAACATAGATGTTTCTCTTTGCAAGAGTGACGAAACTGTTTGGCTTTTATTCACAAGGAAATGTCTAACATGTCTAAGGAAGCAGATAAAACGCCTCTATAATAACCTAGAAGAGTCAAATGATGTTTGTCTACTCTACCAGCGTGGGAGGAACTCGAGTCTTGACAAGTTACGATAAGTATGTCAAATTCAGCATCGCAAACACATACATGTAGCATTCAAGTTTGATCCAGTTCTGGTTGCAAAACACCATTTTATAACCCCCCCTCCACCATCTGCATTTAACATTTTGTACATATTTCTAAGTTGTATTTAGAGAACCACTATTACGTTAGCACCGAACCAAAACGTATATATTTCGAGAGCAATTTGCAGATAGATAATTACCGTGTTCTGAGGCCCAGAAACAGTCTCCGTCGAACTCTTTCTCTTCATTATTTTCTTTGTTTCATTACCGTTAAGATGGTAGCCATTGTAACCATGGAAAATAAACGTAACGTCATAAAATGGTAAGCAAAAGATATCATTACGTTACGTGAAAATCAAAATAATACGTAAAAAATCGAGGTATCATTTTTTTTATTTGTTCTCTTTGTAACATGGATTGTCTTTCTTTAAGGATGTGATGCCACCATTTCCTGAATCCATTTGATGTAATTCATAACTTTCGTGTAAGCTCCTGGACTTTTCTCCTCTGTAAAACAATGGAATTATATCTATTGCTAGTATTTAATAATAAGGACAGGAACTACCCAATATATGTTGAGTGAAGAATACTACTTAAATTGATGGTGTAGTTGTTATCATCTTCACAATATCAAGGCTTTGGGAAAAATTAACAAAAACCTTAACATTGTAAAGATGAGATAAAAATCGGATTGTAATTCAAATGGAATATGGACAAGTAGTTTTATACTCTACGTACCAGCACACCCGTTTCCCCAAGACACGATTCCCTGGAGATCCCATTTTGTCCCAGACTTACAGACAAACGGACCACCACTGTCTCCCTTTGAAGAAAAACAAGCAAATTCAAAGAATTGTGGCCCCCCGTTTTCGGTGTCTTTGTGGGTGAGATGTCATTTTTTATGACATATTGTCTCAAATATGAACGCCCTATCATATGTCATTTAGAAATTTAAAAATCAATCCTGAAGGTCAAGGTCAATAGGTCACAAATCATAGCATGCTTGGAAATATTTTGTCACAGGTAATGCACATGTCAAATATGAAAGCCATATCTCTTCTCAATATAAGGAACAAGATGTGTTTCTGAAACACTGTGGACCCCTAATGGCAACATAGCGAAGATTAAACTTTTCTTACATGCAAATTAAACATATTATTACCCAAAGATTTTTAGGTCACCTGAGTAAACTCAGGTGACCTATTGCTATCTGTTTTCGTCCGTCATTCGTCGTGCGTTAACATTTGAACATTTTCAGCTTCTTCTCTGCAACCACTGAACCAATATCAACCAAATTTAGCACAAAGCATCTATTGGTGAAGGGGAACAAAAATTGTGAATTTCATGATCCCTGCCCCCCTGGGGCCTGAGGGGGGGGGGGCCAAAACCACTAAAATTAATGCAATCTTTAAAAATCTTCTTCTTTACTCCTGGACATCAAGCAGTCAAACTGTTTGCATGATTGTAATCAGCAATGAGTCCTTTACCAAAATTGTGAAATTCATGGCCCTGGGGTCAGGGGTTCTAGTGCTAGGGCGGGGCTAAATAAGAAGTTAGTGAAAATGCATTATTTCTTTGAAAATCTTCTTCTCTGCTCCTGGGTAATAAATAAACCAACTAAGTACATAGTTATGATGAGCAAGAGTGCCTCTACCAAAATTGTGAATTTTATGGCCCCAGGGTCAGGGGTTCTGGTGTTAGGGCGGGGCTCTATTGATTATACAGTGAAAATACATGAATTCTTTGAAAATCTTCTTCTCTGCTCCTGGGTATTAAATTAACCAACTAAGTACATAGTTATGACGAGCAAGAGTGCCTCTACCAAAATTGTGAATTTTATGGCCCCAGGGTCAGGGGTTCTGGTGTTAGGGCGGGGCCCTAATGATTATATAGTGAAATGCATGATTTCTTTGAACATCTTATCCTTTGCTCCTGGTTAATATGCTAATGATCTAATTACATATTTAAGGCCAGGATTTATTTTATTTTCAGTTTTACAAACCTTTCGCTCAAGGTTTTGAATTTTCAGAAAAAAATAAAACAATTTTTAGCTGGGCTTATTGCTCAAAGAGCAATTGCCGGCTTATGTCATCCTGTTCAAGGCAGGATGTTGACCCCATAGTCGCCAATTTAAAGTTACGTGCAAAAATATAGTTCTTACTCTCAACCGCTTTTGAAATAATACAAACGCTAAATAAAGCAACAAAAATAAATCGAAGTTTTATCTATATAAAATAAACATTAGTAGTAATGACTTTGAAAACTTCATAAGTCAAAGAACATAGTTCATTAGCGTAAGGATTTTTGATAATCAGTGTTACCGTAGTTCTCAACACATACGAAGTAAAGCAGGAGAGGGAACCAGACTAGCCTGTTTGTTTACATTCAGCTGCGGTACCAGATTAATTCTGATTCTGACAAAATCGGACCGTGGTATAAGGATTGAAAAACTCACTGTCAGTGTCTTATCATTTTTATTGATATTTTTAAAATAAATTTTTCATCAGAATATAAACGTGATTCATGTAAGAAATCCATTCTACTCTGTAAATGAGCCCGGCTCTCTGTACTTCTGAGTACTTTGATTTTCTTTCCGATGACAAATTTGAGTCGGAATCTAGATTTCAAATTTACGAACTCGCACTTCCGGTGAAACGGCGGGTAAATAAAGCTAGATCTGAGAAGATAACTTGGTTTAGTGTAAAATTCATCGATACAAGTGCCATTCAAAACGTTTCACCCGTTCAAAGGACAAATAAAATGCTGACGACTTTGTTGCACAATGACATGCTGGTGAGATAATTATGTATTCGTGGTAGCTATTGCATATTGCCAGGGACATTGTTTAGGTCTCTGTTATAGCTTACAGTCTAACGCCATTCTTCAGAAAATGGGACGCTTATGCATCAGATGTAATGAATAAAAGTATGGGAGAAGTCCATTTGAGGAAGATTGATTGATTGATTGTATATTGTTTAACGTCCCTCTTGAGAATTTTTCACTCATATGGAGACGTCACCGTATGCCGGTGAAGGGCTTCAAATTTAGACCTATACTCGGCACTCAGGGCCATTGAGCAGTTCTTTATCGTGCCAGCGCCTACCGTGACACGGGACCTACGTTTTTAAGGTCATATCCGAAAGACCCGTGACTTTCACTTCTAGTGCCGAGCGCTTGGCGAAGGAACAGTCACTACCTTTGTTTACGTCTTAGGTATGACGTGGCGCCGCGATCGAGAATCGAACCCGGGCCTCCCGATCACGAAGCGAACCATTTGAGGAAGAAATATTGAACAATAACCTAAAGAAATAAAAAAAAATTCAACTATTAAAAGGCAAGAATATACAAATATATATACAGGCATGTAGTATCATTTGTATCAGCCAGAAAAATTATTTTACACTTAATTGAAAAAATGTTGACAATACTCCCTGTCTGTTTTATGATAGGAATTATAATTTTAGGCATCAAGTAAATTTTAGAACAATGTCTACACATTCACCTAACACATATTAAAAAAATGAAGATATATATTGAAAGACTTTTAAAGAATTGATTTTTGAAAATATATTTTGATCAACATCACAAAATTTATATAACTGGCCCAAACTGACAGATGATGAAATAAGCTATTAAATGTTATACTTTCCCATTTGTAAGCATTATTTCTCCAGTGGTAAGGAGCCTATTAGGATAGCATAAAAAAAGAATGTACAAATGTTAATAATTGATTTATCAAATAAAAAATTTTATTTCCTTCTCCTTCGGGACTTTTTTATTCTCATGTTCATAACTAAACCTAAACATAAAAAAAAAATGCTGGCTTTATAATGAAGAAAGGGGCCTCTTTCAAAATAGATAATTTCAGGGCTGCTGGGTCAGGGGTACAAGGGGGGAACTTTGACTAATAAATAAATTAATGATTTGAAATCTGCCCTTTGATAAGCAATGGTGCCTCTTTCAAAATATGTGAGTTTCATAACTTTTGGCTTAAAACACGAACCAAATACAATCGCTGGAAAGTTGATACATGATACTCAGGTGACCTATAAGGCCTGTGGGCCTCTTGTTTATTAAAAGTAGGTCATACACCATTTATTCTTGAAATCCAATGAAAGGTCCTGTCACAAGGGTTAAATACCGGTATGTGAAACATGAAAGCCTTAGCCCTAACCCTTTAAAAGTTATGGTCAAGGTTTGTTTTTTAAAAGTAAGTTAAACTCCAAGGTCAAGGTCAAAGGACGAACTTCTTGTATCCAATGAAGGGTCTTCTCATAAGAATTACATATGTGAAGTATGAAAGCCCTATCACTTACCGTTCAAAAGTAATGGCCAAGGTTAAAGTTTTTTTTCACAAGTACAGAAACTCCGAGGCCAAGGTCAATAGGTCAAGGTTGTTGTTATCCAATGAAAAGCCTTGCCACAAGAAATACATAGGCCTATGTGAAAAGTTTTTACCATTCAAAAGTTTTTTTTCTTTATTTGAACATATTTTATTATGCAAATACATAAATGGATTGGGCAGCAGGCATAGCCTACTAGTATATAAGCCCTCTCCATACCATTCAAAAGTTATGGCCAAAGTAAAAGTTTGGAATTTTTGTGTAAAAGTGGGTCAAACTCCAAGGTCAAAAGATCAAATTTGGTGGTACCCAAAGAAAGGTCTTGTCACAAGGAACACACAAGTGAAATTTGAAAGTCATAGCTCCACTTAATCAAAAGTTATGGGCAAGGTTAATGTTTTTGTGACGGACAGACTGACAGACGGAAAGACGGACAGACGAATGAGATTTAATGTCCCCTCGCTTTCGCGAAAGCGGGGAACAAAAATACATAGATATAAAGCGTCAGAGACAATGTTACTGAACATAATAATATTTCTGTAAAAACTTCATAAAAGGAGTTCGTATTGGTTGTAAGTAAACCGTATCCAAATTTTTTTGCCAGATCCTCAAAATTACTGCTGATTTGCCATCTTGAAAGTTTCGTCAGCATTTAATTTCGTTGCTTCGAAAGTGGCCTTACTCAATATATAATCATGTTAAAATTTGAGTGGGATTTAATTTCGTTGATATTGTTAACAGATACTTATTATTGTATAATTAAATTGAATAAGTTTCAAATGGAAGATTGAAATGGATTTTTCTGTCACTATTAAAGGTAAAACAAACTAGTGCTAATTGTAACGGGGACTTTAATTGTTCCCCAAACGCTCCCCAACTCCTTTTGGTGCCATATTCCCTGTAAGCTTCATTAAATAAGACAAACTCTATGCATCTGAGATTTTAACAACATTTACAAAGAAGTGTACAAAA